TCCAAAATCCCATTAACATAGCACAATGTCTGATAAAACGTGGTATTACTGTGGTACTTTTTGCAAGTAGAATAAGATGATGCTTTCAGATATATGTTAAAATACCTCACTATGGTGATATATATGCAAAAATACATGGTATTAAACCAAACAAGGCTTTATCATCATACTCATCTAATAAATGGTGGTATTACCATGTCAAAATAGCTTGACATCCCAGAAAATGACTATGGTAGATTTGCAAAAACAGCAATGTGTACATATCCAATATGTATATGCATAGTGTTACTGTGGTAAAATTCACCAAAAAACATAAAAAATCCCTGTCTAAAATCCCATAAACATAGCACAATGTCTGATAAAACGTGGTATTACTGTGGTACTTGTTGCAAATGGAACAACATGATGCTTTCAGATATGTTAAAATACCTCACTATGATGCTATATATGCAGAAATACCACGGTATTAAACCAAACAAGGCCTTATTTATCATACTCATCCAATAAATGGTGGCATTATCATGTAAATGGTGGTAATATGTCCTTTGACAAAATAGCTTGAAAATTACCATGGTATATATGTGAAAACAGTAACGTGTACATATCCAATATGTTTATCCATAGTATCACTGTGGTAAATTCACCAAGAACATAGCCTGTACAAAGTCCCATTAACATAGCACAATGTCTGATAAAACGTGGTATTACTGTGGTACTTTTTGCAAGTAGAATAAGATGATGCTTTCAGATATATGTTAAAATACCTCACTATGGTGATATATATGCAAAAATACATGGTATTAAACCAAACAAGGCTTTATCATCATACTCATCTAATAAATGGTGGTATTACCATGTCAAAATAGCTTGACATCCCAGAAAATGACTATGGTAGATTTGCAAAAACAGCAATGTGTACATATCCAATATGTATATCCATAGTGTTACTGTGGTAAATTCACCAAAAAACATAAAAAATCCCTGTCCAAAATCCCATAAACATAGCACAATGTCTGATAAAACGTGGTATTACTGTGGTACTTGTTTAAATTGGAACATTATGATGTTTTCAGATATGTTAAAATACCTCACTATGTTGCTATATATGGAAAAATACCACAGTATTAAACCAAACAAGGCTTTATCATCATACCCATCCAATAAATGGTGGCATTATCATGTAAATGGTGGTAATATTTCCTTTGACAAAATAGCTTGACACTCTAAAAAATTACCATGGTATATATGTGAAAACAGTAACGTGTACATATCCAATATGTTTATCCATAGTATCACTGTGGTAAATTCACCAAGAACATAGCCTGTACAAAGTCCCATTAACATAGCACAATGTCTGATAAAACGTGGTATTACTGTGGTACTTGTTGCAAGTGGAATAACATGATGCTTTTAAATATATATGTTAAAATACCTGACTATGGTGCTATACATGCAAAATACCATGGTATTAAACCAAACAAGGCTTTATTTATCATACTCATCTAATAAATGGTGGTATTACCATGTCAAAATAGCTTGACATCCCAGAAAATGACTATGGTAGATTTGCAAAAACAGCAATGTGTACATATCCAATATGTATATGCATAGTGTTACTGTGGTAAAATTCACCAAAAAACATAAAAATCCCTGTCCAAAATCCCATAAACATAGCACAATGTCTGATAAAACGTGGTATTACTGTGGTACTTGTTTAAATTGGAACAACATGATGCTTTCAGATGTTAAAATACCTCACTATGGTGCTATATATGGAAAAATACCACAGTATTAAACCAAACAAGGCTTTATCATCATACCCATCCAATAAATGGTGGCATTATCATGTAAATGGTGGTAATATTTCCTTTGACAAAATAGCTTGACACTCTAAAAAATTACCATGGTATATATGTGAAAACAGTAACGTGTACATATCCAATATGTTTATCCATAGTATCACTGTGGTAAATTCACCAAGAACATAGCCTGTACAAAGTCCCATTAACATAGCACAATGTCTGATAAAACGTGGTATTACTGTGGTACTTGTTGCAAATGGAATAACATGATGCTTTTCAATATATATGTTAAAATACCTGACTATGGTGCTATACATGCAAAAATACCATGGTATTAAACCAAACAAGGCTTTATTTATCATACTCATCTAATAAATGCTGGTATTACCATGTTGTTAACATGTTCCATGCCAAAATAGCTTGACATCCCAGAAAATGACTATGGTAGATATGCGAAAACAGCAATGTGTACATATCCAATATGTATATCCATAGTATTACTGTGGTAAATTCACCAAGAAAAAAAGCTTTTCCAAAATCCCATTAACATAGCACAATTTCAGATAAAACAGAATAACCTGATGTTTTTAAATGATTGTTAAAATACCATGGTATACATTTAAACCAAACAAGGCTTTATTATCATACCCATCCATTAAATGGTGGTATTACCATATAAATGTTGTCCCATGCCAAAATAACTAAGACCCCGGAAATTACTAATAGTACATATGCCAAAACAATACCATGAAATTAACATATGTACATATTTAATATGTATATCCATAGTATTCCTGTGGTAAATTCAGAAACAAACAATGTGGTATTACTACATGGTATGATAGATGACCAAAATCTCATCCTGTTACTGTTACAGTGGTTCTTCTTGTAAATGGATTAAGTTTTAGCTTATAGCTACATAAAAAAGCTAAAATACCACAGTATTGCCATGGTGGCACCATGTTAAAAACATGGCAATAGCATATCTCATGTCTAAATACCATTGAATTTACACAATTACTGTGCCACGGATCTGCAAATACCATCTTCCATGGTAAACATAGCTTATCGTCATATCTATCCAAGAAATCATAGTATTGTTATGATAAATGACGAACAAATGGTATTACTATGATGTATGCAAGTATTGTTTTGATTTCACGTGTCTGAATAACATTGAAATAAGAATAAAAAAGCACTTTATAAATAAATAAACTTTGACCATTACTGTACCACATATCAGAGAAAACGTAAGTAAACGAAATCAGTCGTATGAAAATGTACGATTTTAAAACGAAGGCGTGGCACCTTATCCCTCCCCTAAATCTAACCATCATTGGGTGATGAACAAATCAAACTAAATTGTATGAATTAGATTGTACGAAATCATACGAATTAGCCACTAAATCAAAAAGTTACGAATTGCCGTAAGATTGCATTAAGAAAATGCCATCTTTCATGTTAAACAGCTTATCGTCATATCTATCCAAGAAATCTTAGTATTACTATGATAAATGACAAACAAATGGTATAACTATGATGTATGCAAGTATTGTTTTGATTTTTTGTGTCTAAATAACATTGAAATAAAAATAAAAAGCGCTTTATAAATAAATAAACTTTGACAATTACTATGCCACACATCGGAGAAAACGTAAGTAAACAAATTCAGTCGCATGAAAATGTACGATTTTAAAACAAAGGCGTGGCACTTTATCCCTCCCCCAAACCCAACCATCATTGGGTGATGAACAAATCAAACTAAATTGTATGAAATAGATTGTATGAATTCATACTAATTAAGCTGCGGTCACACCAGAGTTTGAGTTTGTGAAATTCTGTCGTACGGCTCAGCGAAAAGGGGCGGGATTAAACAAGGTTATTAGACATTTAAAAAGCGAGCGATTGCTCCACATTTTCAATTTCTGTCCAGAGAGGTCATGTTTTGATCCTCGATTGGTCTCACGCAGTCAAGTGATGCGATTTCACAGGTCAGAGTTCACCAAGCTTCAACTTTGCACAGCAGCAACCTGTGAAACTTGACGCATGACCCTGCGTTTCCGGTCTGACGCATTCGCGTGCGTATGAATGGAAGTCTATGGGAGGAAAAGCCAAGTGTGACCGCAGCTTCAGCTACTAAATCAAAAAGTTACGAATTGCTGTGAGATTGCATTAAAAATGCCATCTTATATATGTTAATATAAGCTGTAATATAATATATAGCTGATCGTCCTATATATCCAAGATTTAATAGTATTATTATGATAAATGACAAAAATTTGTGTTACTGATGTCAGTAAATATTGTTTCAATGTCTCGTGTCTAAATAACATTGAAACAGCACACAATTACTGTGCCACATATCTAAAAATACCATCTTCCATGGTAAACATAGCTCGTTATCATATCTATCCAAGAAAACATTGTATTATTATGATAAATGGGGAAAAAAATGATGATGTCTGTAAATTTTGTTTCAATGTCTCGTGTCTAAATAACATTGAATGCAATTACTGTGTCGCATATCTAAAAATTCCACTTTCCATGGTAAACATAGCTTATGGTCATTTCTATCCAAGAAATCATAATATTATAATGATAAATGGGAAAAAACATGGTATTACTGTAATGTGTGTAAATACTTTCAATGTACATTAAAATACCTAACAATTAGTTTGGTACGTAAGAAAATAATACTACGGTAACGGCATATCTAATATTGTACGTTCATTTATAAACAACTTTATAAAACACAAACACACAAAAAAAAACCTGCCTCACAACAAACAAAAGTGCAAAACACACACAAAATACACATGTAAACACACGGAACAAACAGCAGACCGGTGTCGTCATTTGCCAGCTGTTTCTCGCAGGCTGCTGTTTTAATTCACTCTTGGGTGTTAAATGAATATCCCCAATCAAAGGAGGGTCCATCATGATCTCCATGACAACCACCCGAGCCGCGGGCACGCGCACTGCATCAGCACGTGAACGGGCCCGAACTTCCAGTCCCACGTCGAGGAGACCAACAGGCGCAACATTGCATGACAATAATCTACACGAATGCGTCAGAAAAACACCTCATTATTTAAATACGAGTGCATTTCACAGCAAACTCGCGGCAGTTGTAGCATATGCACGTGAAATACACGCGCTCATAAACCCGGGATCATGAGCGTTTCGGAGTGCTCTTACCTTCAGCAGTGTCTGTTTCTCCCTCTCCTGCTCGCACACACTTTCATCCATCAATTAACGCGCATTAGAGCTTCAGATGCACGAGCGGGGATCCGATCGCGTGTTTAGATCAGATCTGAAGTGAGTCTGGGCTTTCCTCTGCGCATGATGAAGATCTGAATGCAGGAGTCCCACCCCTGCAATGCAACTTCAGCACCAACACACGCGCGCGCGCGCACTCACGCACGATTGAGAAGGGGCCAAGGGGGCAGTTATCATACTGGACAGTTTTCGATTTTTTTGCTACAATAAAAATGTAGACTATTGAACATTTCCACTTTTATTATTAGGTTTGGTGCAAATGGGCAAAAATTGGTGGAAGTGTCAGTCAGCTGAAATGACAGATGAAAGAGTGTTTCCTCTGTGGGTGGTTTGTCAAGTCCACTCACCTGCGTGAGGCACACTCAAAACTGCACAATGTTTAGAGCAGGGGCGATTTTAGGATTTTCTTTGTAGGGGGTAAAAAGTATGTATGTATGTATGTATGTATGTA